ATATGTATGTTTGTGATTCGTAACATAATTCCTTCAAAACACATGCAACTTGATCCCACTGGTTACTGGCAGCGGAGGACAGAGATGAAGGCAGGAGTTGGCAGGGGAACCAAAGGGGACATTGGCTTTGTTCTCATTGTATCACATGTGGAAGAAGTGTGCCCTGCAGCAGGAGCACACTGGGACCTGCTCTGGTCCCTTTGCCCGGATGTTTGGAACTCCTGTGTGCTATTTACCTGCCCTCCCGGGGAGTTGGCTACTGGGGTCTACTTTCTTTGTCCAAATTAGCTGCTTTTCCCATTCCAAGTCAGAGGACAGGAAAAATCCCACTGTGAATAGAAGTGTTGAATTACAAAGGATAATAGGAAAGCCCAGCTAATTGTGAAGCCTGCTATGTGGATAATGGGTATGAACAGCTGCTGCGGGAGGCAGGGCTGTCCTAGCCAGAAGAGTGCACTGATTTCTTTCTTTCTTTTTTTTTTTAATTTTAAAGAGAAAAGAACAAAAACAAAATAATAAAACCAAAGACCAAAACAAAAACAAAACAACACAAAAACTATAAGAACGATACAGAATTTCAAAACAAGATGATAGGAAGTCAACAATGGTTGTTGTATTACTTATTGTTATCCTCAAAGTAGTTGCTCAGATTATCAGATATAGGTATGCAAGATAGATCAAACAATTAAACATTAACTGTTCTTTTCAATAAACCAGTAGAAATTACTAGTACAATTATCTTAGCTATCTTGTGTGTGTGTGTGTGTGTGTGTGTGTGTGTGTTTCCCTTCTTTCTTTCTTTTCTCCTTTCCCTCATCCCAGTTGTTCTTTCCTATTGAGCAGTTTCTTTCCCCTTCACAATATCTATTGTACCTTTCAGTTTTATTTACTCTTTCGGGTTCTTACACTAGGGAGACAGTATGGCATTTACACAAGCAGGTCTTCTTTATTTCATCTCTTTTTTGTTTGTTTGTTTGTTTTTGTTTTTTCTCTGGTACCGGGAACCGAACTCACAACTTTGCGCTTGCCAGGCAGGCACTTTTGCCTTTGAGCTAAATCCCCAGCCCTATTTCATTTATGAGTATGATCTCTAGTTGCATCCATTTACCTATAAAAACCTTGAGTTTATCTTTATTTAATACTCCATTATATCAAAAGAAGCTTTTGTCTTCAAAAGAAATCACCAATAAAACGAAAAGACAACCCATAGAATGGGAAAACATTTTAGCTAATTGTCCCTCAGAGAAAGGACTTATATCTAGAACATATAAACAACTGAAAAAACTCAAACACCCCCAAATTCAAAGACCCAATCCAAAAATGGGCATCTGAAATGAATACACACTTCTCAGATGAAGAAATACAAATGGCAAAGAAATACATGAAAAAATGTTCAACATCATTGGTCATTCAAGAGATGCAAATTAAGACAACACTGAGATTCCATCTCACTCCAGAAAAAATGGCTACCATTAAGAAATCAACCAAAACAAGTGCTGGAGGGGTTATGGGAAAAAAAGGAACACTTGTTCACTGTTGGTGGCAATGTAGACTGGTGCAACCACTTTGGAAATCAGCCTGGGGATTCCTCAGAAAATTAGGTTTAGAGGTTCCAGCCATTCCCTTTCTGGATATTTTCACAGAAAAATTAAAAACATCACACCACAGCAATACATGAGCACCCATGTTTATAGCAGCACAATTTGTCATAGCAAAATCTTGGAAACAACCCAAATGCCCATTGGCTGAGGAGTGGATAAGAAAAATGTGGTGTTTTTATACAATGGAGTGCACTGATTTCTTATATCAGATTGCATTCTTCAGCAGCAGCAGCAACAGCAGTAGCCAGGAGCACAAGGACGCCTGGTGCAGTGTGTGGGTGTGGTGGGGGTAGCACCTGGCCGATCCTGGAAGCTGACAAGGCACAGTGAAGGTTGTCTGGAAGCTTGATTTGTGTAATTGTGACAATGCAAGGAGGATGATTTATAGCCATTGTACACCTTGAATCACCGCTGCTCTGTGAAGCTAGAGTGTGTGTGGCTTGCTGGGAAATTCCCAGGGACCAAGAAGCCAGAAAGGCAGCGGATGAGCCAGGACTCTGAGCTTCCTCTTGCATCTGCGATGAACTGAGACTCCTGCTTGACCCTGAAGAAGGGCTCCAACTCCCCAGCCTTCCCAGCTTCGTCCAACCACGCCCCCGGCACCTTGGACACATGCAGAGAAGTTGGTCCATTCTCTTAGAGAAACAGCAATACTTTGGCCTTACTGAGCTCCTAGATGACAGGTTTTTAAAAGGCATTCCTGTGTTATGCTTAAAATAGGTCTAAAAATAAGGTAGCAAACAGACCCAGCAGACCCTGAGTAGAAGGCTCCACACAGCTCAGTAAAAATCAGCTTCCATGAGATTGTGCGTGCAGGAGCTGTGTGAGGTGGACTGCAGTAGAGAACAAGGCCCCACTCGCCCTGTCCAGGGGTCCCTGAGGCTCAGTTTCCTGGGAACACCAAACCAGCCCCTGAGAGTTCCTTTCAAATGCACAGAACTCTGAGGAGCAGCAGCCAGGTTCAACAGATGTTTAAAATGCTGGGCCTTTAAAAGCACAGAAATATATATAATATATATATGAGAGAGAGAGAGAGAGAGTGAACAGCATTCAAGCAGAGCCTTCAGCGTGCTGCACACTCCTTCCCCAGGGAATAAGCACTTTGGACCCAGCAGCAAGTGCTAATTAAGCAGGATTCTCTCTCCTAGACTGAGGGCTTTTGTAAGGTCAAGTGGCTGGAGCTCTCAAAAGAGAAGGAAGAAACGACCCAAACCTCAACCTGGCAGCCACAAGAAAAGTCGCCTCCAGACAGTTTCCAAGACTAGAAGTCAGCTCTAGGGACTGGACAGCAGAGAGAGCAATGGAAGCGGGGGATGATGCCCCAAGAGGCCCTGTCTGCTCTGTTTTTTCTAGAAGGCTGTGGGTGCTGTGTTCCCCACCCTTTGGGAGCAGGGAAGGGTTAGGAAAGAGAAGGAAGAGCGCAGAGGGACTCTCCTGGCCAGCCCTCACCAGCTGGCCTGTGTGTGGCAGGCAGGCAGGGCTGTGTGGCCCTTCCTGGAAAGGCAGGGTCTCCTCAGCTTCCTCAGGACACTGAGTTCATGTCCGTAGACTGTCTCCCAGGTCACAGGACCTGTCTCTGCTGTGCTTAGGAAGGAGGGAAGGAGCTTGTACCCACATGGGGGAAGTGGTGAGGATGGAGAGGGGCAGCAACCAGAAGCACAGCAGGGACAGAGCAGAGCCCGTGCCCAGCTGACCCTGTGCACCTAGCCAGTCCACTTCCAGGGAAGTCTCTTCCCAAATTAGAGTTGTCTGTGAGTTCTGTGTTTGAAAAGGAAATATATTCCTTTAGGAAATGATCTCTTTTTCTGTTATGGCTGAGATGCTTTTGATCCCTGAAGGTGTCTCCCTGAGCCGTGAACAGCAGTGTACTTTGGTACTATAATCATTAGCTGTATTATTGAGCCCCTTCTGTATCCTTTATCTATGCCATGTCTTTAATGCCTCAAACACCCCTAAGAAATAAGTAGTGTTATCCCATTTTACAGCTGAGGAAATAGAGATCCAGACAAAGGACACATTCAAGGTCACTTGGGTGGCCATGAGCAGGGTATGGACAGTGACACCCGCCTGTGTGCACGGTAGTGTTCTTCACTAAATGGACATTGTGTCTCTCCCTGCTGTACGCTGGACATTCTGCCGGGCACTTGTATGTACTGGTGCGCCCAGCACACCGGCTTCTGACTTCCCGGAGCTCCCAAGCAGGGAGAAGTGAGTCAGGAGAAGAACATCAGATGGATTAAGTCAAGTAGTGATTAAAATTTCTTTTCATTAGAAGGTATCTCCTGCCTTATTTTTAACGATCCTATTTTCCATAAATCTTAAAAATGTAAACGGAGATAATTGGTGTTTAATTAAAACCTCCAATGGAGTTCAATAAAGAACATTTTGAATCAGAGGACATAAAAATGTATTGTCACATGGAACCCTTTCTTACTTGGCCTCAAAGGGTCCTGCCAGACCAAGGAGTAAGTTCGGGCTGACTCAGGCACGACTGCCACCTGTGCCGGGCCTGAGCATGGCAGGCCCAGCAGCTGCAGAAGCAGCCTCTGAAGGCTGTGATTTTACACCCTCAGAGCATGGTCAACCATGCACGATAGGCGCCTGTGCCTTTGTAAGGTAGCTATTGCTGGTTCTGTGCCAGCGTTCCTTTGTATATCTTGAATATCTAATGTGTTTATGACCTTTAAACTGTTTTGTTATAATTCAATCAACATTCGCAGGTACTGGTAGTGTGATATTAAATATGCATAAAACACATCAGTATAAACTCTAGAACCAACATATGCAAATAATAGCTCTTTCTTTAACTGCACAGATTTAATTGCCATAAAAAGACCCCCATAATTTGGTTCCTAATTTCCGTTCAATCACCTTTGAGTCCTGTTTCTGGAATTTCCTAGGCTCCCTCTCCCCTGTTGCTGCCTCTGTCCTTGCTGTTCCTTCTGCCTGGAACTACCCTCCTCCACCTTAACCTTCTGAATTTATTCATTAAATGTAAAATCAAGGTCAACCAGCTGAGGATAATTTCCTTAAAGTCAGAAATGACAGAGTCCCATACTAGCATCTGGAGAAATGGAAGACACGGTTCTGAATCCCACTGCCACCTGTTCAACAGCTGTGACCACAGCCCACTTGATTACTGTCTGTGCCTCTGTGGTTGCATCCATTAAACAGGTATAATCTCACCTCCACCCCCACCTATAGCTGCAAAGACTTTGCTATGAGGGCATTAAGCAATGGTGCCATTTGAGGCTATTGCTGCTTTAGGCAAACCTTGGTTCATCAGGCGCCTTTGGGCTGGCTTCTGAGATTAGTGCGTGGTTCACCAAGGGACATACGTGATATGCTATCTTTGTGTCTTCAAGACAACCTTAAATGTCATTCTGTCTCTCTGACCAGGTAGTCGACAGTGACAGACCTGAAGGGTCCAAGTTCCGGCTCACTGGAAGGGGAGTGGATCAGGAGCCTAAGGGAATCTTCAGAATCAACGAGAACACGGGTGTTGTCTCTGTGACACAGACCTTGGACAGGGAAACAATTGCTGTTTATCAAGTGAGTACCCCTCGCCTGCCTGCTCTGTGTGCACAGATGTGGCTTTCAATCAGTGTTTTCTTCTTGCTGAGTTTGTTATTTCTGTGCCTCATTAAACTCAAGAGTGTGTGGCTTTAGAGTATCCCATGGGAGCTGGAGTGAGTTGAACCCTGTTGGAGTAACAGTGAGGGCTCCTGTGTCATCCACAGAGGCCCAGGCCTGTGTCAGTCTCTGAGGACCAAGACCTCCGTGCTTTTCAGAGGCAAGCTGAACCCTTAGGTCAACTTTTCTTCCCAGAGACCAGCTTGATGATCAAGAGCAATAGGAGCCATAACCCTTAGGTGTGACAGTTACCCTCGCAGAAATCTACCCTAAGGAAATAGAGATAATTCAGCACGATTTTGGTACAATAATGCTCTCACAGGGTTTGGTCCTACGAATGGAAAAAGCTGCTAAGCATTCCTCAGTGAGGAAGTGGTTAAGGCCCAGCACCTTCCCAAGGCCGTTTTCCATATCGTCTAAAAGACTTTCAACCGAATGTTAGTTACATGAAAAGATTCAAGATATCAGATGGAAACAGAACAGAAAACACACATAGTGTCTTCATTATCGAGTCCTTACACGTATCGTAATGAGCAGACATTTAAGAAACATGATAAAAGGAAACTCAAAGTACTGATAGTAGGGTGTGGGTGTTACGCTGGGTTTCTTCCTGTGGTATTCTTACCTGCTCAGCTGGCTCTCTGTGAGCTTCTGGGGGGAGAAGGTGCTATGAGGGAAGGGTGGGCACACAGTGCTGGGTGCACATGAGTGAGTTCACACTGGCACAAGGTGCCGCCCCGCAGTGTCTCCTCTCACAGCCTTGCTGGGGGCTTTGCTGAGCACCTCCGGGGACATCACCTGTCAGTGAGCACGGAGAGCTGAGTGTCCTCCGCACAGACCCAGGGGAGAGTCTATAGTGTGGAAACCGAATGCTGACACCCCCAAAGTTGCCAGCTTCAGTGGCCCTGACAGCAGCCCGAGATGACTCAGCCGCTCTTGGCTTCCAGCTGCCGTGGGGGTAACCGGCAGCTGGCCGTGTGTAGAGCCCTCGTCTTTTCCTGTGTCTGTCGGGGGAATGTCCCTGGCGATGGATATTGTGTGTAAAACACATTCGCAACTAAGAAAGGCACAATAAAGTGCATCATTTCACAGCACAGTGATTAAGAATTTTGAAGTTAAAAAAATGCCATCCAGGTCTCCCCACTGCTACTTCCTGGGCTGCTTGATCTTGGACAACTCACCTACCTTCTCTGATCTTATAATTTTTGCTCATAAAAATACAGATTTTATTAGCATCTCTAGGGATAATAAAAGATGAAATGAAATTATTTTTCCAGACATTTGGATCAATGCCCAGCGCTTATCAGGTATGCAATAAATCAGAGCTGCTTTTGTTAATCCTTTTCTTGAACATTTTTAAAGTTTTTAGTTAAGTCCCACAAGTTTCTAACCCCAGTTTCCTGACTCCAATCTGAGAAGGGAGACACCCGCTGTAGACATGACTTTTCCTTCCGGTGGATGTTAAATGAACACCATCGCCTTTGCCGCCCTCCATGAAGCTCTGTAGAGAGATTTCTCAGAAAGTCTGCAGCTCAGGGAGCCGCCGGGGAACGAAGGAGACACAGGAAAAAGAATGAGGGAGAGGAGGTGTTTGGGAAGCCAAGGAACAAAGAACCGGTGTGAGGCAGAGAAAGCAAAAATTGTCCGTGGCCAACTGAGACGTGGTGCCAGAGGGAGGAAAGGGGCCTTTGGGGGCCACTGAGCTGCTGTAACAAAGGGCAAGAGATTGGGTGCATCCGTGGCTGCACGGTCCCCTCTGATGTCTGTGGAATCCAGAAGTGCTTCCCCCCCAAAAAGTCAACCTTCCATTTCGCAGAAAGACTCCAGGCGGCCTATGCCAGCCTCTGTCTCAGAGTGAATGTTCTCCTTACGTGGCAGTGACCTCGCCCTCCAGGGGCAGTGGGAAGTCCCACTGTGCTGAGGTAAGAGATGTTGGGGGACAGTCAGGGCAGCAAGGAAAGGAACCTCGGCAGCCACCATCAGGGACTGAGGAGCGGGCAGCCTGCGCTCCGGCAGGCTTCTTGGTTTTGAGTTGCCGAGGATACCAGTGGGGGCTTGGTGAGGAGAATTCCTCAAGCGCATCAGCTCCTTCCCTCTGGCTCCACGAGGCCAAGGCACAGCCGTCAGATCTGACTGTGCGGGGCTTTTGCTGCATTCAGGAGATGGCCGAGAGGACCGTGAGGTCGGACCCAGCCCATGTCTGCTCAGCAGGAGCCGCTCTGTGCGCAGGGCTGAGTCCACGAGAGAAGGCGGGCTCCTCTCCTGTTCTTTCCTTCTTTTACTTCTCTTTTTTGCAGTGCTGGCAACGGAAGCCAGGCTTTCCTTCAGTGGAGGCCAGTACTCCACCCTAAGCCCCTGCCCAAACCCTGCTCTCTCTAATGTTCACAAAGGCCCATGTGCTGGGGTGGAGTGAAAACCCCACTAATCTTTAAGTAAATTTATTTTCAGTGCTATTACCTGACAATTGTGATTGAGGATGAAAGCTCTGGAAAAGAAAAATCATGCATCCAAATTTCAGCACCACGGCTTCCTGAGCTGAGTGATCTTGGAAAAACCCATTCACCCTCTCTAATCTTGTGATTCTTGTCCAGAACATGAGCCTAGCACTACTAGCACCTCGGAGGATTACACAAGAAGAAATGACTAGTATTCCCTAACTGGTATTTGCGGGTTAGCTAGTAAAAGAGAGCACAATCTGCAGCTTGGAGCTTCTCATGCTTTGTAAAGTGAGGCCAGGGCAGTTCCCAGGACCATGGGAGCTGTGGGCCCTGGACAGGCTTCTGCCTTTGCTTCCTAACATGGGAGCAGGCGGGTGACAAAGATGGTCTTGTGGAATTCCCCGAGGATTAAAAGGGTAATAGTTTCAGGAGAATTGTAGGCACTGTACAGCCGTGGCTGTCCCACATGTGGGTAGGACAGCTCTGAGGCCATAGGTAAAGGAAGGTGAGCGAGAGCTCCCTGGATCTGGGTTTAGGCCCAACCTCGACACTCAGGCATGAGCTCCTCTGATAAACCTGAGTTCAAACTGTAGCATTTCTGTCACCTGCTTACAGGATCTTGATGGACTGGTCCATACAGCCACTCATCCTGCGTGTACTCCGTGGAGGGCCTGCAGGGCGAGGTCCCTCCAAGGTGGTAGAGGGGACACTAGAAACACGGCATCCAGATCCCTGCCCCAGAGTGTCTTTCACCTCAGCGCCTGGGCTTTGCTGCGCAGTGTGGCAGTTTAAATACTTCCCCATGGTGTATAGGAGACTCGCCAGGAAGCTGTGCCTTGTGATCTTGTGGGCTGGTGCACCTGGCTCATGGCGTCGTGCCCCCTTGGAAAGGCAACAGCCTTCAGTATGAGTACCGGGGCTGCAGTGGCCAGATCCACCTGGCCTGAGCATCGGCTCCAGCTGCAGGAGGCCCCATTCCTCAGGAGTGACCCTCCAGGCCTCAGTATTCACCTTTAGACTCTATCTTGTTTCCTCCTGTCCTTGCTGAGGAAGGTCACCTAGCTGTCCTCTTTCTGGGTGTAAGCAGAACGGGATTACGCTCCTGTGGAAATACTTTGGCACAGGAACGTGGCAGTTCCAGTCCATCTCAAGTGCCTGTTTAGAAACCACTGTCTGTCTCAGAGGTCGAGTCAGATCCACTGTGTGCATGGCTATCAGTGTAGTTGGGAGCAAGTCTGCTTCTTCAAGAACAGAATCCTAGCTCTTCAAAAGCCCACATTTTCATTTCTACTCTTGCAAGTTTAGAAAGCAGAGAGTGTGTGGGTGCATGTATTGACATTATAATTGGGCCAATGTTGTTATTTGTTTTAAAGTTAAATGCTCCTCACACGTGAGAACATGCCAGTGCCTTAGCATTTCCCAGATCCACCAAGAAAGCATGTTGACAGAAGCCTCAGGGCTTTGTGTGATACAAAAATAATGTGTGATCCATTTGCCCCTGGACTCCAAGTGACTCCTGTCACGGACACTACAGTTTCTTAAACACTGTGTGGTAGATGTTAGGCCAAACTCTTCATGTACATCCTGTTATTTAACCTTTTTCACACAAGGGGCTGAAGAAGTAGGCATTAGCACCATTTTACAGATAAGTGCATAACTGTTACACAGCCGCTGCAAGGGCTCACAGCTGGCTTGTATTGGATTTGGGATCCATAACCCTTCTTCCTGGGCTCCAAAGCTCTGTGTTTTCAATCACTAAGAAACGCTTCTGCCTGTTTTTACCCGTGACCTCCCTTTGATATCTAATCAGTAAATTCCTTTGCCCTTTCCTAGGAACTCCGCCTACTACAGCTGAGAAGGGGTATGGCTGGCTGATCTATCACTTCTTAAATACCATCTTGCTCCCTGACCCGCTGCCACCTTACCACACCCCCTGCCCCAGCTGACATTTGGGTTTCCTAAGCCTCTGACCCAAAGTGGCACCTGGCAAAATAATTTCACTCTCGCAGTATTAGGAGCTGACGTATTAATGCAAAGCCTCCTGAAATATTACTCATTATTATGCATTTTGCCAGTATTTGAGTGATTTGTGAACTCTTCATTGGAATAAAGTACTGTAAATGATTCATGAATGACCAAGTTTATGAAATTCTATAAAAATATTAGCAGGTGGTAATGGTTCCCTCACACTGTGAATATAATCTGCTGGCTGCAAATTTGTCAATATGGGAGAACAGGGTGGAGTGGGAGACAGAGTCTGGTGGGCAGGTGGGGGACCAGATGGAGGGTCTGGGGTGATCTCCGCAGGGGATGTGAGGCAAAACAGGAAGCAGCACTGACTGTGGAGATGGGCTGGTGTCTCAGCAGGAGGCTGTCACCCTGATCTGGTGTCCACAGTGGGAGAAGCACAGAACACTGGTGAAGTGAGAGGTGGGTAGAAGGGAAGAGCATTTGGGAACAGAATGAGAACTTATTGAGCAG